ATCTAAAGGGCTGCCATAAAGAAGGGGGAGTCAAGCTGTTCTCCAAAGCACCTGAGGGCATGGCAAGAAGCAACAGGTAGAAACTAATCAAGGAGAGAAGCAACCTAGAACTAATGAGAAATTTCCTGACAGTTATTCAGTGGAACAACTTGCCTCCAGAAATTGTGAATGCTCCAACACTGGAAGTTTTAAAGAAGAGGACAACCATTTGTCTGAAGTGGTGTAGGGTTTCCTGCCTAAGCAGGGGGTTGGACTAGAAGACCTCCAAGGTCCCTTCCAACTCTGTTATTCTATTTTATTCTATCACAGGCCTAGAGGTCTGAAAGTTTCTAAAAAATGGAGATTCGGGGAGAATATTAAAAGGAATTTCTTAAGATTTGTTTTGCTTAGAAAAGTGGAGGACTCCTCCATCCTAAAGATGGATTTACAAATAGGTTTGTTTAGGGTGGCTTAATGAATCCTTTTACTGAGCAGGGAGTTGGACTATTTGACCTCTAGATGATCTAGCATTAACGTAAGATTATTGCCATTTAGAGGATCTTGCAGGTCTGGAAAGAACTGGCTCTTCTGAAGGAGAAGAAAAGTTAGATTCCAAAGGGTAGTTTTGGATTTGGGCCTCAGGCTGAACCTTCTACTTTTTATTGAGAATATGCTTTATGGCCGATCTCTTCTCCCCTCTGGCCAGTGACCCAAAAGAAGGTTAAAGAAAAAGATAAAACAGGTTCTAATCCAGAAAAACCACCAAGGTCTGCTCTGCTCCCACTTTTTCTGAAGTACTTACGTTGTCAAGAACTAATATCTTCCCTTTTTTAATGAGCCGTAAACATTTTTCGTAGTAATCGTTGTAACTCTCTTCGTCTGCATGGATGAAAGCAAGGTCAAAGGTTCCAGCTTCACCATTGGCCAGAAGTTCCTCTACATTAAAAAAAAATCAAAATAAGTTTTTGGTTTTTTTTAAATGCAAAAAATTCCCTTCCGTCTACCTTCTCTCTGTCGTTGTACTCTTATCTGCATTGGTTGAAAGGCAATTTTGCAGGACAATTCTGCTGACAGCCTGCAATTCAATTCCTTTCCTCCGTCCCCCACCTACCGATCCATCCATCTATGATGCACAGTGGTTACAATGCAGTATTTCAGGCTAATTCTGCCAACTGACTGCAGTTCGATCCTGACCACTCAAGGTTGACTCATCCTTCCATCCTTCTGAGATGGGTAAAATGAGGACCCAAATTGCTGGGGGCAATGTCCTAACTCTGTAAACCACCTAGAGAGGGCTGTAAAAGTACTGTGAAGCAGTATATAAGTCTAAGTGCTATTGCATTCGGACAAGTCCAGCCTGCAAAGGGAAGGGGACGAGGAATGATGAGAATCCTGAATTCCAGTTTCCTCTTAAAACAAAGAAACCTTGCTATTCAGACACGATTCTACTTGTGAAACCACAAGTTTTGGGGATGGAGTTCCAATCACTTCCAAAGGTGCTTTTTCAGGAGGCAAACTGGACTTTCCTGTTTTTTTTTCTTTTGAAGACATTTCACTTCTCATCCAAGAAACTACTTCACCTCTGACAGGATAGAGGGGAATGGAAAGATTTATATTCCTTGCAGACGATTGGTCATTTGCAACCTTTTAGAGGCTCATTGAGGTCATTTGGAGGTTTATCTGTGTCTTCAGTCACCTGAGTGGTGCAAATGGTTCCTCTAGTCTGCCATTTTTTTCCTCTGGAAATCCATTCCTACTCCCACACCATTCCAAGGGTGTTCATCCCAAATTGTACAGCTAAAGGTCAGTCATCCAGGTCATGGTTGTCCCAAATGTGCTTTTTCAAGAAGCAACTGGACTTTCTCATTTTGTCTTTTAGTGACTCTGAGGATACAGATAAACATCTAAGTGCTTCAACAACCTTCTAAAAGGATACAAATGACCAGCTGCCTGCAAGGAATATAAATCCTTCCATTCCCCACCATCCAGTCAGAGCTGAACAAGCTCCTTGGATGAGAAGCAAAACATCTTCAAAAGAAAAAACAAAGACAGTCCTGTTGTAAAGGTTCCCCTCACACATATGTGGTAATTGTTCCTGACTCTAGGGGGCAGTGCTCATCTCTGTTTCTAAGCCAAGGAGCCAGCGCTGTCCCAAGATGTCTCTCTAGTCATGTGGCCGGCATGACTCAATGCTGAATGCGCACAGAACACTGTTACCTTCCCACCAAAGGTGGTTCCTATTTTCCTACTTTCATTTTTACATGCTTTTGAACTTCTAGGTTGGCAGAAGCTGGGACAAGTAATGGGAGCTCACTCCGTTAAGCAGCACTAAGGATTCAAATTGCCAAACTGCCGAACTTTCTGATCAACAAGCTCAGCATTTTAGCCACTGAGCCACCCTAGGGAGAACAATATAACCATCTCTTTTTTTTTTTTTTGGTCTTTATTGAGGTCTAGAAACATCAAAGGCATTTTTGCAGGGTTGAAATATGATTTCGTGATTTGCCGCTTGCCCTGATGAGTTTTAAATACCGTTTTCATTTTCCTTGACATGCCGACTCTCCCATGCAACGGCATTAAAGCAAAGCCTTCAGGTGTCCTGCATCTTGGGAGAATTCAGGAAGAGTTGATTGCATCAAAGGGATTAGCAAAAGGGCCTCCATCACTTTCACTAATGTCGAATAATTCCATGCAAGTGAAAAAGGGAACATTTTACCTAATTCACGTCGACTATGAAAAAGATGGAATTTGCAAGATTTTGGGCAACAGAACTGAAACTGCTGATCTTTTTAATTGACATGAATTTTAGATTCTCTGATTTTTCTTTAAAAATATGGAACAATCCGTCTCATTACAGGTAGTCCTCAACTTACGACAGTTTGCTTAGTGACTGGAGTTACAGCAGCCTTGAAAAAAAGTGACTTAAGACCATTTTTCATACTTATGACTGTTGCAGTATCCCCGTGGACACGTGGTCTAAATTCAGACGCTTGGCAATTGACTCATCATTATGATGGTCGCATTGTTCCAGGATCACGCCATTCCCTTTCGTGACCTTCTCACAAGCTGAGTCAATGGGGGAAACCAAATTTACTTAACAACCGTGTTGTTCACTTAACAAATGCAGTGATTCACTGAACAACTGTGGCGAGGAAGGTCGTAAAAAGTGGGCAAGACTCACTTAACGAACATCTCCCTTAGCAACATAACTTTTGTGCTCAATTGTGGTTGTAAGTTGAGGACTATCTTAATGATTCAGGAAGTCTCTCCCTCAATTTGTTTATTACGTATTGCATTTGGAATGGATGGCATTTATTTGCCATCCATCTCGCGGTGATTCGCTTAACAACTGTGCCAAAAAAGGTATAAAATGGGGCAAAATTCATTTAACAAATGTTTCCCATAGCGACAGGCAGCCAGGGAGTGTGATGAAGTGAGGGAGTGTTGATGCCTGAACAGACACCCCCCCCCAGGCCCCCAACCCTTCCAGTCAGACCTCCTGCTTCCACCTACCTAATGTTTCAATGGCTGGTTTTATCCTTAGATCGATCTTACGTAGCACCCCGGCCTGGAAGGAAAGAAAACAGATCATAAGGAAGGGATTGGCAACGTTTTGAGGTCCCAGATGCTCAGCCTCCCCACCTTGTGTGTGCATTTGTGTGTGTGAGGAAGTTGGGGAGGAACTTGGGCCGTTCCTGGAATCTGGGGAAGGCTCTGTGTCAGAAGCAGAGGTAGAGCCAGGGCTGTCCAACAGTTCCCAGCTGTCTTCGAAGTCAGAGATAAGTGGGGAGGAAAAACAGCTGGAGCCTGTTCCAGATGCGCATATGCGCAGAGCTGTCAGGAGAGGAGAACAACTGAGGACAAGGAGCTGACTTGGGAAGAAAGGCACACGTGGACGCTGAATAGCCCCTCCCTGGCTGGGGAATAAATAGAAGGAAAGAGGAGTGGTTATCGTAGGAGACAACAGTTCGTATTTCTGAAGATTTTGCTCATCGACTTTCCTGCCACAGAGATTGCTTGCCATTACTTAATTTGCAGCCTTTTGGCTGGGAGCTCATGGCCTTGCAATTATCGCAAGGAACTGATAAGGTCTGTACTGCAGTTAACTCCTTGAAGGACTCTTGCCTGGACTGTTCATGGGGGTGAATGCCATTAATTCACAGAAGCTCAATAAAGAGAGGATTTTCGGGACAAGGATTCTGTTTATTGGTTCTGCTTTACTCTACCTCTTTCCACACTGGTTTTCCGATACTGGCCAAATCTTCATTTATCTCGCAGGCAACAATTCTGCCATCCTCTGGTAGGACTAGAGCCATGCTTAAAGTATTGTACCCAGCAGAAACTCCTACGGAGAAATTACAAAAAAGACGATTGAAGAGTGTTCCAATTTCTGAATGAATGAGAACATACAGGTAGCCCTCCACTTACAACTGCAAAATTTTCATTGCTGAGAAAGGGTGTTTTTTTTAAGTGAGATGTGCTCAATTTTACAACCTTTATTGCCGTGGTTGTTAAGCAAACCACTGCGGTTGTTCAGTGAATCACACAGTCCTTAAGCAAACCCAACTTCCCTCATTGACTTTGTTGTCGGACGTCGGCTGGAAAAATCACAAACGGGGATCATGTAATGCTGGGACACTGCGCCTGTTGAAAATACAGGCCAGTGTGTCCGAATTTGGATCTCGTGAGCATGAGGATAGCAATAGCACTTAGACTTATATACCGCTTCACAGTGTTTTACAGCTCTCTCTAAGCAATTTATAGAGTCAGCCTATTGCCCCCAACAAGCTGGGTCCTCGTTTTACCCACCTTGAAGGGATGAAAGGCTGAGTCAACCTTGAGCCGGTCAAGATCGAACTCCTGGCAGTGGGCAGAGTCAGACCGCAATTCTGCATTCTAACCACTATGCATCATGGATGGATGAATGGATGAAGGGAGGAAGGAAGGAAGGAAGGAAGGAAGGAAGGGCAATAGCACTTAGACTTATATACCGCTTCATTGTGCTTTACAGCCCCTCTCTGAGCTGTTTACAACGTCAGCCTATTCCACCCAACAAGCTGGGTCCTCATTTTACTGACCTCAGAAGGATGGAAAGCTGAGTCAAACTTGAGTGACCAGGATTGAATTAATGGCAGTGGGCAGAGTCAGCCTGCAATTCTGCATTATAACCACAGCACCACTATGGTCTAAAATGTGAGCACCGGTCATAAGTCATGCTTCGGAGCCATTGTAACTTCAAGCAATCACTAAATCAAAGTCAAGGACTGATTTCATACCCCATTCTTCTTAACAGCAAAGTAGTATCGGCTTTCTCCTCCAACACTCTAACTCAGGGGTGTCAAACTCAAGGCCTGGAGGCCGAATCCAGCCCGTGGGGTGCTTAGATCTGGCCCACGGGGCTGCCCTGGAAATAGTGAAAGACTGGCCTGTGGAGCTCTGTTTTTGCTGGCAGAGGGGCAGCCGAAAACGGAGCTGGGGAGCCCATTTTCTCTGGCATAGCATTCGACCACTACATGTGCCCCCAACATGAGCTGCCCACACCCACCCTGGCCACCCCTACTCTACCCACCCTGAGGTCAAACACATCCCTGATGCAGCCCTCAATGAAGTTGAGTTTGACACCCCTCCTCTAGCTCTTAATTTTGAGGAACCCCAGAGTAGACACTCATCCTCAGAAGAAAAGGATGGTGTCAACCATTCCACTCAGTCATCTAGCAAAGAAAGACTCCTGGCCATTTGTTTTTGCCAATGATTGCAGAAGTAGCCACGCCAACAATGCAAAGTAAATTAAAGTAAGTAAAGTTATCTGTAAACGTCCAGTTAAGGTGCTTGCATATTGTTTAGGGGACAGGTTCTCGGTTCCCAGCTCTACATGCAGATGGTTGACCTTGGCTGGCTGAAGCTTCTTAGAAGGTTCAGCCAGGCTTCCATCCGCCCCCCCTTCCCTTCTTCCTTACAGCCCAATCTTTCTCTCCCCCACTCCACCCCCGTTGCTAATGTCAGGTTGTCAGTTCATGAAGCTTGGACAGGAGAGATGGAGCCGTGACAGACAGTTTAAAACAAACTGCTTTTCTGTTTTATTTTGCCAGAGTGTGGGAGTTTGAGGGAAGGGACCAGTTGTAATCTGAGTACCAGCAGTAGAAGATTAGACTGTGACCTGTAAGGTGGCCGCTTTATTGTGGGACTAAATCCTGAATCTTCCTGGTTGTAGGCAATCTCACTTACCTATCTCAATTACCTTTTTTGCTCCAACAAGCCTGATCAGGTTTGCCACCAACTGGGCCTGATCAGAAGAGATACGCAGCTTTTTGCCAGGAGTAGAAGATGCAGCCTAGAGAAAGCAAAACAGGGGCCCACATGAGAAACTCTTCTGCAATTCCATGAACGCCCTCCCTGAACGAGCCTTAGCATGTCTGGCAGGGAGGACCTCTGGAAACTGGGAATTCCTGCATGACCTCTCTCTATCCCACAATTCAATTTATTGTTTAATGCAGACCTCGAGCCCCAGGCCACTCTCTCTCTCCCTCCCTCTCTCTCTCTCTCCCTCCCTCCCTCCCTCCCTCCCTCCCTCCCTCCCCTGCCTTTACTATTTTTACAAACAACT